TCGGACATGACTGAACATGAACAATTAAAAAAATTTAAAAAACGACCCACTTACTGGTTACATTTCCACATCAGAAGGAGAGGGAGAAGGGAGGAAGTATGGATGGAAGACCCCCTCCTCTGGACTGCAGACACTGACCAGAAGTTGACTGAACTTCATTCTAAGCCAGGTAAGCAGATGTGCAGATCATAATATCTCTGACCAGCCCTTGGGTTGACCTGGGCAATCCTGGGTAGGGGGGGGGGGGGGGGGGGGGGGGAGCAGCAATTTTTGGAAAAAGTGCATAACATACAGTACCTTAAATATATAAGCTTTGAAAATGAGAAATTACATATTTTTATTCAACTGAAAATATTATTGTACATATACTGTACAGGTAAACATATCAAGACAACGTGAAAAAGTAACTTAAATAGGAATGCCTGAGTTTAATACTAGAAATCAGGCAGGGTACACATTTAATAAATAAATATTACCTTTTAAAATTAATTTTGCCCCTGATTCATAATTTTGGAACTTTAAAAATCACACACTACTTTGCTGGCTGGGGAATTCTGGGAACTGAAGTCCACAGGTCTGAAAGTTGCCAAGGTTGAGAAACACTGGTCTAGCTCTTTCCAACCTTGCCTGAAATAACCCCTTTCATCTGCAATTCCAGCAAATTCTCCAAAGACACCCAATCTCTTTCTGCCCCAAACTTGACTGCACCCCCTTTTCCTTTATTGGCTCTCAGGGGTCAAGTGACTCCCCCTGGGCACAGAGGGCTGGTGTGTGATTTAAAGGAGCAGCTGATCCCCACTACGAGTGATCTTCAGAGCATTTGATAGCTGCAAATCACAGAAACCAGGCTTTTTGTTACATCTGGGTGTTATGGAAGACATTTCTGATTTTCTGATCTGGTGAGCCTGTGATCTACAGTTACCTCAGGACGATCAGTCAGTTGTTCATGGTAGCCAGTCAACATATAGAGTCATTGTAGGGCTGGTGTAGGGAGGAATATTCTTAAAGATTTTGGGTTCTGCACACCTTGGCATTCCTCTAAGTCTGCTGGTATTATATCCTCCTTGTGCATTGATGGAGTCCTTTTAGGTTCCAAGCAATCGCACTTTCTCCACAAATACTGGGGATACAATAAGCTTTAACCAACAGATCAATCACTTAAAGAAGCATTATCTTTATTTACTTTTCATTTTCTTTTTTTTTTATTTCCCATTCCTGTAATATACTAGGGTTTTAAAATATAAACAGTTGTGATCTGCCACTAATCACTTAAGGGACAGACCAAATTTTCATCAAGAATGCTCAGGTGAAAAGACATAGATTCTTAATTTTTGAAGCCATTTTGGTTCTGATACTTTTTTTTTTTTTTTTGTTAAATCAGTCTTGACCAAAAGACTGGCAACTGCCTGGACAAGTCTGTGTATTTTTTTAGGCAGCATTTTCAGAAGTGGCTTACTGGTACCGTCTTCCTAGGATTGAAAGAGTGACTGGCCCAAAATCACCCAGCTGGCTTCGTGCCTAAGGCGGGACTAGAACTCCCAGTCTCTCCATTTCCAGTCTGGTGCTTTAAACCATTACATTAAATTGGTTCTCCTTCCTAGAACAGGAAATGAAGGAAATAGGAAAAAATAGCCTTTTCTTTTCCTTTCGATAACTAATGATGGTTTTTAACTTCTTCAGTTATTGATTATACCTTTCTTGAACATTCTCAAAAATGTATTTCTGTTGAGGCATAGTAAGTTACAAACGTATTTAAATATAAGAGATTTAAAATCTGATTAATTAAATGGGTACAATGATGTAGCAAAAGTAACCATGTTATGTACAGTAGATATGATCTGAAATAACCTTTCTGAATACACTCAAAGAAAGCATACACATTTGCTAAGAAGTCATCACATCCTTCCAGTGCTGAAAAATGACCTTCCTCAACCTGGGGGTCTCCAAAGGTGGAATATAATCCCCATCACCACCGTAGCCCTGTTAGGTGTTGCAGACCCACTCATATTGGAAGAGAAACAATTTGGTCTAGTGGTGAAGGCACCAGGCTAGAAACCAGGAGACCGTGAGTTCTAGTCCTGCCTCAGGCACAAAGCCAGCTGGGTGACCTTGGGCCAGTCATTCTCTCTCAGCCCTAGGAGGGAGGCAAGGGCAACCCACTTTAAAAAATGCTGCCAGGACAACTGCAAGGACTAGTCTAGGCAGTCGCCAGGAGTCAACACTGACCTGAAGGCACCCTCTCCTCCAAAGGTTGTCTTAACATATTAGAAAGGAAAATAAGCCATCTGGCTTATTTATCATGTAACACAAGAACAAAATGCTGGAGACATTTGGTTCACTTGGATGCATTCCCAGATCAGTGGTGCTTAACTTTCCCATCCAGCTTCAAACCAAGCAAAGTCCAAGTAAGTGCAACTGTATTTGTTCACACTTGCCCCTTGATTCTTTACTTTTCTCTCCCTTGTTCTCTCCCCCTGCTCCATATAAAAGGCAGGGGTATCAAGATTTCTCCAAAATAATGCAACATGTGGTAATATCAGGACACAAGCTCTGCTCCTTAGGTACTTGCATGCAACTCTGCAAGGCAAGAAATATGAAAGAGGTGGAGTTTGTGCTGTGATGTTGCAATGCACATTTTGTCAGTTGCCCCCCCACCCCCAATACCTAATATCAGAGCCATCTGCAGGGGGATCAAGGGAAGACAAACAGTGAAAACAACGTTGTGCCATTGCAGTGCAAGCTCTGCCCTTCTGACATCTACGAAAGCGGTGGCGCTTTCATTGTGACAATACGACAAAAATCAGATCCTCTGGACGCCTCTGCTTCTGACCCTTGAATTCTGTGGCTCTTTAATTCTACAGTTTAAACATTAAGGCAGCAGGAAAGAATCTTGTGACTTCCGGATGTTTTTGACCACCAGATCCTCCCATAGGTTGCCTAGAACTGGGGTTAATGGAGATGAAATCCAAAAGAGCTGGAGGGCTGCCTACTCCTGCATTAACTTTAATTTCTAATGGCTCCTTTGGCCAAATTGGGGGGTTACAGTTTATACAGTGGCAAATCCTCTCTTTAGACTGTAAGGCATACTAATCCAGACTTTCCAATCATTGTGCTGGGAGGGACTCTGTACTTCTGCCCCGAAGTCCTATCTTTATGGTGCCATTACCCTCAAAAAAATTTTCCTTACGTTGCAATACTTGAATCTGATTTCAGCATCATTTAGATGCCTGGTTATTCTCCATGTCATAGCAATAATTTATATAACTATGGTATCACTCAGGATTCTTAGATCATAGGAAATGGTTTTACAAACCAGCTGTGAGATAGGAATGCAGCATCTGTCTGCAGCTCATTAAAGCAGCCATCTCTTCAGCACCTCTTCCAAAGTGAATTAAATGCATTGTACAGAGGTAGTGAGAGGCAAGATTTTTCCCCAGATGAACTTATGGTCTGGATCTTTCATAAGTTATCACTGTGACAAAGTTATTGACAGTGAAGTTGATTCCCTCATCTACTCTGTTGCCTAAAAAGTAACATTTCAGGGAGTGGGTAGATAGGCAATAAAATATATTTGGTTTAGTTATTGTACAACACTTCTATCCCACTTTTCTGTTTGAAATAAAACATCTATTATCAAAAGGAATGTCACAGTCAGAACCACAATATTACAACCAAAGCAACTGCCATAAAAGCATAGCTAAGGATAGCGAAGAAGACTAAACTAAAATGTAAAATCATAAAGTAAAATATGAAATCAAAAAATAAAATAAGCATAGCAAAGAATAAAATCAAATGAAGAGAAGCTGGAGCAAAACAAGTAAGCAAATCCAGTCCATTTAACCACCCATCCAAGCCCTCTGAAACAGTAACAATAATATCTGCCGAGCCAGATGTGAAGAAGCCAAAGGAATCCTGATGTAAAATCTATCCATATTAGCCCTTGCCTGACCTGTCTGCCAAAAGCAGGGGAGTGTGGAACAGCACAGGAAGCCTGCCACTAATATCTGGAACATCTTGGAAGCAGGGAAGAATCTGCTATTGCTGCTGCTGCTCCTTACCACTTCTCTCGTCTTGCTGCCAGAAGAGAGATAAAATAGGTGCATGCAAGCCTCTGGGACTCATGAGAGGTCACGGCATTGCTACAGTTGGATTGTCAGGCAGGGATTCAGGATGACACATTAATCATCTTTGTCCTATGCTGATGTCTCTTCCCCACCAAATATAAGGGTGGACTGGATGCAGGAAAGAGAAAGGGCGGAAGAAACAAACAGTGGGCAGAGGGCATTGTGTCTGTGAGGGGCAGAAGTCATTCTGTGGTGCCACAGGTGAGAAGCTGCTACTTCTCTTAATTGTGTGTGAGCCAGGGTGCTGTGACCTCTTGGGTGCTCTGAGAACCAGATGATAAAAGTCAACATCAGTCCTTTTTCCTTGAGGGAGGAAATTGGGAGCAATTGCTCATCATTTCTTCCTGCATATGGAAGTCTCCTCTCCTTTCTCTATGGATAGGAGGAGATAGGAGTTCCTGCCTTCTCCTGTATACAGGGAAAGAGACTGGAGTCAGATTGGAGGTTTGAGCAAGCTTTTAGGGATGCAAGACTTCTCCATCAAGACTCTGCTGGCCAGTGCAGATTTATCAGCCACAGTTGGCCTGTGGACTGAACATTCCTTCTTGCTGAAGTATAAAGTTGCAGTCCAGATTAACCTATTTCCAAATGCTCATTAGCAAATCAGGAGCAAGGAGGACCAATAGCCTGCCTTCTAAAGACCAGGAATATCTTCCCTTGTTTGGCCAACTCTCCATCTCTGTTTAGACATTTTTCCTGAAGCCTGAATGAGAAGGCCCTCATTCCACTATGTATGATTCTACATACTGTTTTTAGATAACTTCATTCAGTGAGCATATAATAGGACTAGCACATACCCCATGGAGATGTTATTTTACTGGCATTTGTAGGCAACATCGTAGTTGCTTTGGAATTGCAGTTGGCCTTTCTTCAGGATTACATAAGTTCTGTAATCTTCTCTTCAAGCTTTTTTGCATTAGCCCCAGTTATTTCGAAAATCTAGGATCAAACAAAAGTCAACCCAGTTAATGGAAGATCAGGAATTTGAGGAAAGCACCTCTCTTGCATGATCTTCCTCAGGTACTTCTAAAATCCTTTTTTAGAGCCTTCCCTTTGGTGTCTCCATCTACAGAGTTCCAGTGATTGGTGATGAGAGTAAGCTTCAATGCTGCAATGTTTTGCCCAGAGAGCCTCATGTTGCTGTTAATGCTATTTCACATTAGCCAAAATATCTTTTTCACTTATTAGCTATGAAAGGGTGTTTCTATGAAAATTACTCTTAGCCTAATACAGTGGGGCAAAAAAGTATTTAGTCAGCCACCAATTGTGCAAGTTCTCCCACTTAAAAAGATGAGAGAGGCCTGTAATTTTCATCATAGGTATACCTCAACTATGAGAGACAAAATGAGAAAAAAAAAAGTTAAAATATCATTCCCCACAAAGCAAATGTCTGAGTAGAGTTAAGTTCAAGTTAAAATATCATTCCCCACAAAGCAAATGTCTGAGTAGAGTTAAGTTCAAGTTAAAATATCATTCCCCACAAAGCAAATGTCTGAGTAGAGTTAAGTTCAAGTTAAAATATCATTCCCCACAAAGCAAATGTCTGAGTAGAGTTAAGTTCAAGTTAAAATATCATTCCCCACAAAGCAAATGTCTGAGTAGAGTTAAGTTCAAGTTAAAATATCATTCCCCACAAAGCAAATGTCTGAGTAGAGTTAAGTTCAAGTTAAAATATCATTCCCCACAAAGCAAATGTCTGAGTAGAGTTAAGTTCAAGTTAAAATATCATTCCCCACAAAGCAAATGTCTGAGTAGAGTTAAGTTCAAGTTAAAATATCATTCCCCACAAAGCAAATGTCTGAGTAGAGTTAAGTTCAAGTTAAAATATCATTCCCCACAAAGCAAATGTCTGAGTAGAGTTAAGTTCGGAGAACTTGCACAATTGGTGGCTGACTAAATACTTTTTTGCCCCACTGTATTAGGTAGTTGAGGTATACCTATGATGAAAATTACAGGCCTCTCTCATCTTTTTAAGTGGGAGAACTTGCACAATTGGTGGCTGACTAAATACTTTTTTGCCCCACTGTAAGTTACTGCTTTTCAATTCTAAGAAACTGATTTTCTACACTGCTTGGGCTTATTGTGTATTTTTTAAATGCGATCTTCCTACTATTTCATTCTCATTAGGGCTTCAGTATTCATAGAACATCTTTTCTATGTTTTTGATAAGGGCAGTGACTTATCACTGGGCAATTGAACTTAACTCTACTCAGACATTTGCTTTGTGGGGAATGATATTTTAACTTCCCATTTAGTATTTTATGGATTAAAATTATGAGTGCCACTTACAGTGAATGTTAATGGAGGAGATAACCAGAAATTAGTTAAATGTTTTAATATTTATTTATTTGCCAAACTTCTACCCAGCCACAATCAATGACTCTTGGTGCCTCACATAGACTATAAGGCAAGTGAAAACATCCATGACCTGATTAAAACCAATAATGGTCACAACTGCAACTAGAGCATAAACACCAAACAATAATCATCAGAAAGAACATAAAAGATAAACATAAATTAAGGATAAAAAATAGAAAATAGGGAACAAAAAGAAGATGGTATCATATACAGGATGGGCGTCCTATCTTGGTGTCTGGAGGCTGTGAGGATCTGAATGGGGAACAACAAGCTTCAATTGAACCCTGGCAAGACCGAGTGGCTTTGGGTTTTGAGCCCCTCCGGTTCTACGATTTTACCATCTTTGGTACTGGATGGGGTCGCACTACCCCAGACAGACCCTGTGTACAATCTGGGGGTCCTCCTGGACTCATAACTCCTGCTCAAAGAGCAGGTGGCAGTTGTGGCTAGGAGGGCCTTTGCACAACTTCATATTGTATGCCAGTTGCGCCCATTCCTACATCAGAGGGACCTACTCATGGTCACTTATGCCCTGGTCACCTTGCAGTTAGACTACTGCAATGTGCTCTACATGGGCCTGCCCTTGAAGAGTATTCAGAAACTTCAGCTGGTGCAAAATGCAGCGGTGTGAGCAGTTATTGTATTTATAGTAGAACACACGTTACACTTCTGCTTCGCGAGCTGCATTGGTTACCAGTTTGTTTCCGGGTCCAGTTCAAGGTGCTGGTGTTGACCTTTAAAGCCCTTCATGGGATGGGGCCAGGCTATCTGAGGGACTGCCTCTCCCCAGTTTCATTTGCCCGTTCTACCAGATCCAGCAGAGGGCATGTTACGGTTTCTGTCGCTTAGGGAGCTACAGTTGGCGGTGGGCCTTTTCTGCTGTGGCATCTGCGCTGTGGAATCTGCTCCCCCCTGAGGTGAGCTTGGCCTCGTCATTGTTGAGCTTCCAGAGGTCCCTTAAGACTTGGCTATGCCAGCAGGCCTGGGGACCCCAGGGGACGGGGGAATCAGTGAAGTGGTTCCCTTATTTTTAACTTCCTTTTATTCTTTGTTTTATTTTGTTTTATATATTT